TATGTTGCCCTTGGTGACAAGCTGTTGCAGGGATAAATAAAGTCATATTGTATTTAAGTGAATAAGGTTGCAACAAGCAAAATTGTTGTTGAAAATATTTAATATACTTTCATATATGACTGAAAAGCAGCAAATCATCTAGACTGAACCAAATGCATGTTGGACATTTTTGCTTGAAAAAAGACTGAAAATACTGAAACAAAAGATCAGTTATCAAAATATTTGACTAATCAATTTATAAACTAATCATTGCAGCTGTTGATTTGAATTGAATACTGTTATTAAGTCAGTTTAGTAGTTTGTGTTTAAAAAGTTATTCCTTCCCAGTAGTTCTGAAACAGTCAAAACTATATGTGGAAGACAGAAATCCTATATTCAGTACAGGCTTTAGTGGTTTATTGTTAGAAAACAAAATGTATGAATGTAGGTTTTGACACGTCTGTTTTATTAGGATGGTGTGCATGCAAAGGCAGCTGGTTTTAGGACTTGGTTTGACCTCAGGAGATGTGCATTGCCAGCATATAGTCTGATTGAATGACCATGAGGCCCCTAACCGCTAGTCATTAACACAGTGCTGATTTAACTGCAAATGATGGTGACAGTTCCCAAGATGGCTTCAAGCAAATTCAGCCATCAAGTCAATTGAGAAGCTCGGATAATCAGTGTTTCCGCTGACGCTCAGAGGGTAGTTATATTCGAGAATTTATCTGATGTGATTTTCCAGAGTGACAATGAGTGCAGCGTAAGAAAAAATGAGTGAGGGGAAGAAATAAAAGAGGCTGAAGCATGTGTATACACGGACATGTGCAGGTGTTTGTGTGCATGTTTGTGCATGCAGGTAATGGTATGCAGCTTGGGAGAATACAAATGACACTCATACATACTCCCAGTTTTTCAGTCCTCAGTCTGTGGAGGGGAAACACTGACAAAAGATTATTTTTTGTGCAGTTTTAAAGGAAGTCAACCTTGTTTCTTACAGAATAAGTATTCTTTTTTCTTTTTTCTGTTTAATAGCATGCCTAAAGGGGCCTCACAAAGGTGTGACCAAGACAGCACAAGTTACAGTATCAAGGCAAAATCCGTATATATTGACTAAAATATCTACACTACTGTAGAAATCTTTTTTTATTTGCAGAGACCTGCTTACTTACAGTGCTGGTTGGATGGTTTCAGCCTGTGTAACTTCTGCTGCAACACATTTTCATTTAACAACTCTGAGAGGTCATTACCTCAGCAGGTAGGAGCAGTGTTGTAATGCTCACGTCCATGACCTGGACTCAAGTCCAGATTTTCTGGACTTGTGACTTGACTTTGACTTGACTGATTAGTCTTTGGTGATTTGGACTTCACTCTGACTCGAACACTAGGGACTCGAGACGATTCAGACTCAAGGTTTAGTGACTCGGCTACAATACTGGGTAGGAGATTGGTGCAAGAAATTATAAAAGTGCTGCTGCCATGAAGAAGGGGGTGAAACACAGCTTTTTTCTTGCAGATGCAGCATGATGATAGTTTTAGTTACAGCAGGATTAGTTTTCTTTTGTTTTCCACTGTAAAAGATGTCCACTATGTAAGCCTGTTCAAGTGTTATGTTGATATTTAACAAAGCCAGGAATTTCGAGCCCTTCTCTTAGTAGATAATTAAATGGGTCTTACTTAATGGTACAATAGAAACTGGCAAAATAATATAGTGGGCCCTAAATGTACCAGTAAAATAGATCTATGACAAGCTAATATCAGTCTGTAAGATTGACTAGCTAGACTGGCAAGCTGACTAAT